AAATAAATATATTCAATATATATATATATATATATATATATATATATATATATATGTGTGTGTTTTAAGAAAACAAAAGATTATGCCATTACGACTTTGCGAAAACTTTTGCAGACAAACCCTTCCCAACTGTATTCCAATGAAACTTCTCACACGGTCGAAGTAGATTTGGCACGTAGTCTGCACAACGCATGGCATTTATATACCATCAGACAGGCCTGCGAGTGCAGCCTTTCATCATGTTTAAGTAAATCCAGGGTCTGCTCGGTAATGATTGATTCATTTGTTTTTACGGCTTATCAACCTTTTTCAGGGTTATTTAAAGCCAGCAAATATTTTTAGATTCGCACTTGTTTGTGTGTTACTGTGTGAGTGTGCATTTGTATGTGATTAAAAGATTATGGCTTTGTCTCAGTTAAGCCATAATAGTGTTCGTTAAAATAAATATAATAATATTAACTTGTACTATTGTAACAAACTATATCTGTAAAAGGAAAATAGGAATAAAAACAAAATAAAAACTTAACTCAGACAAAGCGTTTCGTCCTCTGATGGACATTATCAAGGCAAATTTTAGTTTAGTTTTTATAAACAGCATTAAAAATCACTGTAGGTTTCAAAACATTTTTTAAATTAAAGAAGCCTCATAAATACAGCCTTGTGCAAAGTAATTGAAACAAAAAGGAATAATTCTGTTATTATTTACGTTTCTTTCGTAATTTTCCACTGAAATATATTCCAGTGCACTTGTTAGTACTTCGTATGTCCATTCCACGAAGTCGTTCCTTGCAGATTGACCACAGATTCTCGATTGGATTTAAATCAGAAGAGTTTCCAGGCCAGTCTATAGTACTTTGATTTGCTCACTGGTAAGGCTGCCAGTGTGTTCGGACAGCGTTACAAGTTTCGTACACTTCCTTGGAGTATCGTCCATCGCAGTTAATTACCGTAGGACCACTAATCGACAGTCGAGACAATAGTATTTGTGCGTGATAAAAATCTGATACAATCACGATGATACAATATTTTTCAAGGCCCAAAAAATTTCATCATATAGCCCAAAAATAAATTCATATTACTGCACACTACTGCAAATGACGTAATTTGAGGAAAAATAGAAATCGATTACACCCTGTTACCCCAGTGGGTCTAAAACTGACCGTATGGCGAAAGGAAGGAAACTAAAGCGGTTGTTTCAATTAATTTGCAAAAGGGTGTATATATAAAGATGTCTGAAAGTCAAAGTAAACTATGGAGGTCTCTAAGGGATATAAATTATTGTCTAATAAACAAAAGTGAGTAGATGTTATTATTGTTTCTCTCGATTTTGGTTTAGATATGATGTAATATTTTTTTTTATCTTGAGAAATTAATTTATGTATTCATATATTTTAAATAATAGAAGGTTTTGTATTCATTCATTTTCTCTTGTTTTTAAAAATATAAAGAAAACAAAGACGGCAAACGGATAGGAAGAGAGTGTAAAGGGACAAGTAATTGATGAGAAAGACAAATATCCACAACATTCGTCATATACACAAACTCACACGCACACACAAAGAAACAAATGTCAACCTAACATCGATAACTGGCGTACAAATTAGAAAAACCCTTTGAATTATTCGGCTAAGAAGAGTAGAGGTTAAAATCGTTTTGTGTCGGACCCACTGTCTTCTCAACTGAGCAGTAGGGGAAAAAGAATTCATGGTACCCACATTCATATTCTGGCTTCCATCTACAAGACCCATTCAAGAACCATCAAGAGAACGGTGAATAAATTCTAAAAAAGAGGGAACAGTAGAGAGGAAAACAGGATCAGGAGGTCACAACAGGAAGAGGGATCATCATTTTAACTTAAGGCTAAAAAGAGCAGTTAGAAAAGATCCAACTCAACACATAAGACGTTTTTCGCGCGAGAGAAGAGTTTCAGCTATGACAGTCCAAAGAGCAGTGAAATAAAAGAATGAAAATGAAATCCTACGTGAAACATGTGAGGCACCTTATCACTCGAAGACAGAAGGTTAGAAGGCTAGAAAGCGAAGATCATCTCGAATACTTTGGAAAATTATCCTGGAATAATATATATATATATATATATATATATATATATATATATATATATCGAAATAAAAGTATAAAATTTAATATTACAAGACATATTAAAACAGTATTAAATAATAAAAAAACAACTCAACAACAAGGGGGGAAGCAACCGGTTTTGCTCCCGCTCGTCAGGCTTCCACGGGAGATTGAAAATTAAAACAGAGAAATGTACAATAAGAATAGGTGGAAAAAAAAAAAACACACACATATATATATATATATATATATATATGTTCGTATATATGCAAGAAGGAACTAGAGGCAGATGACAGCGAGTCCCAGCAAACACTCACATTGTTTGCACAAAGAAAACTTGCGGGACCCGATGTAAAAAAGTGCCTCAGAACCTTCAGATGAAATACAGAGTGTGACCGGGCCAACACGGTGAACCAGTCGACACTAAATTTGGCTATATATATATTATAGTAAAAAGGAATGTCAAAATTCGTTCAAAATGCACCCCTACCCTACCTAGACTTAACCTCTTTTTCGAACGTAACTCATAATTGATACAATAATAGTTAATAAAAAAGAACACGCTACCGCCCCTGTCTAAATGACGGGATTTCTCTGTATCCTTGGAAACAAAAAATTATGAATTGTATGTGCGTTTCAAACTCAGTAAATTTTTTAAAAAGTTATTCTAAAATTCGCTTGAAGACGAAACAGAACTGATGCTTTTGATTTAATTATAAAATTAAATTTGAAGTTTTTAGCTTCGGTTTTTTAAACATGGTAATTCCTTTGTAGCGAACGAACCATATTCTAAACCAGTTAATATATATATATATATATATATATATATATATATATGAACTGTATTTCAATCCTTCACGAACTTCATATCCTTAGCTATGATTAATTAAAGGTGAACTGTCATTTTCGTTTATGATCGATTTCCTCTGTTAAGCTTGGAGAGTAATTTATTTACTAATGTCCCTCCCATGAAACGATTGACATCATTATCTGTGATGTATACAATCACACTTCTCTCCCACTCATCAATATTCAACTCAATATTTAAAAAAAAGAAAAATTATTAGCATGTTCCCCTCAAGTATATATTCATAACCCCCTCGGCAATATTTATACTCAAATAGACGGTATCCTTTAGACACCCCCTTTTTTATAATTATTATATGGCACATTTAGAAAATAAAACGCTTAATGACACTAATAGACCCCCTATATATGTAAGATACATAGATGACATTTTACTTTTAGCTAAAAATATTGATCAAATTACACAACTTAAAAACAAATTTGAAATCACTCCGTCCTCAAATTTACACTAGAACTTAATGTTAATAATAAAATTCCATTTCTTGATGTATATATTGATTCCAACAGATATAAATTTACTACTTCTCTATATAGAAAACCCACTGGCATTAACTCGTGTCTTCTTGATTATAATATGAATGTCCTCTATAAGTTAGCCGTTATAAACAAACTTAATCCAATACACACAAATATCATCTCCCAAAACCATATTCTATAAAAAATTATATAACATCAAACACTTGTTAATAATGGATTTTCTTATTCCGTCATTGATCAACAAATTAAAATGTATCTCAATAAACTTAATAATACCACTAACAAAATTGATAATATTAATAATTATTGTAACCATAATAGTGTTCGTCAAAATAAACATAATAATATTAACTTGTACTATTGTAACCAATTCATAATAATTACAAACAAGATGAAACTAATAATAATAGAAATGTTAAACACATTAATAATAATTAACAAGTTAAGCTCATTATACAGGGTGGTCCAAAAGTAAATGGACTGTATGTGGAATAGGTTTAAGTATCGATTATATTATTACAACTGAGTATCTTGATGAAACATTTCCTGTGAAATAGATTGGCCGAAGAGGTCCGATTGATTGGTCGGCACGTTCACCAGACTTGACCCCAATGGATTTTTTCTTTTGGGGAGTACTCAAGGACAAAGTTTATAGTCGAAAACCAAGAAGAGATGCATTTCAAGAAATGAATACTCAAAAAGATTTGTGCAAAAAAGTTTGTCGAAGCGTTAGAGGTAGACTTCAAAGCTGTGTAAATTTTGATAGAAAACAGTTTGAGCACCTGCGTTGATAAAATTGAAGGGCTTTTGTATTATTGTTCACAATAAAATTTAAGGGCTTTTGTATAATTGTTCACAACAAAATTTAAAGACTTTTGTATTATTGTTCACAATAAAATTTAATGGCTTTTGTATTATTGTTCACAATAAAATTTAATGGCTTTTGTATTATTGTTCACAATAAAATTTAATGGCTTTTGTATTATTGTTCACAATAAAATTTAAGGTTCACAATAAAATTTAAGGGCTTTTGTATTATTGTTCACAATAAAATTTAATTGTCAATGTGTTAGTAAATATAATTGTATGAAATATGTAATCTCAAAATAAATGTAATTATTTACTGTCCACTTACGTTTGGGCCACCCTGTATATTATAAAATATTTAAAACAATTGACTTTATAATCTCTAATACATCTACAACCACACAACTAAATCCTCTACAAAAAAAAAACAATGTAGTGTATCAATTTACATACTTGTTCAAAAGTAAAATCTCTGATACTAATAATCAACCCATTACAGATATTGGTTTTACTACAACTACACTATCCCGTAGACTTACATGTCACCTTTCTAATCTTAGTTCTATTAAACAATATTTCTTAGAAAAAAATAGCCATATACATAATATTTGACAGATATTAGTTGATAACACAAAAATACTCACACATACACACAGTAAAAAGAACCTTCAGATATTGGAGGCTACCTACATTAAAACAAAGCAACCCACAATCAAGAAAATTACATTTCAAACCAGTCACGACATATTACATTAGATCTAAGCATATAGTTCTGTTGATAACATCTCTCTCTCTCTCTCTCTCTCTCTCTCTCTCTCTCTCTCTCTCTCTCTCTCTCTCTCACTCACGGGGTCATGTATCCCGTCATAGAACAACATTACGAATTTTCTACCTGCATCTGCTTTTCAGCAACCGTTATCGTTGCATAGCACACGTCTATGTCAACATAACAGGATGTCATCTTTTACGGTGCACATCTCTGTTGTAATGTCCATATACCCATTCTGATGAGGGCTCATATGAGCCTAAAGCTTAGATCGAGGAAGAGCATAATAAAAATTATCCAGATGCTTGACATTTTTTGTCTTTATTTACTCCCGAAACTAAAGCCATTATACGAATCTTAGAACGTCTCCTGATCAAACATAATAGACATTCGTTGTCTAATATATTTAACAATATATGTTTGAATAATGATCTGATGCCCTTATACACTAAATATATATATATGTGTGTGTGTATATATATATATATGTGTGTGTGGTGTGCGTGCGTGTGTGTGTTTGATTATGTATGAGTGTGTGTTAATAAAAGATTTGACAAGAGGATACATTACTTTACAACGCGTTTCTTTCATCAAGGCAAATGTAGATAAATTATTTAGACAAAAAACAACTTGTATTTAAATACACAGAAAAGCTATCGTTGAGAAATCGTCATGGGAAACGTTTCGAGTTATAGATACGCTACAATATGAGTTCTCATCTTCAGCAACTTCTTAAATATCTCTGGTTCTCGCCAAAAATTTATGCTCTAATTCCTGAAAGTGCTGCATGACTTGCAAAAGCTGTTTCAAGTTTTTACGAGGAATGGTGAAATGTCTTCCATTTGGTTCTGATAACCAACTTTAATATTTACTGTTTCTAAAGCTATTGACTTATGGCGCCAATATTCTCTGAAAATATCAAGTCTTTCTTTGGACTTAGTTTCTTGTAAACAACATACATCAATGCCATAACTATCAATTTCATGATCCAATAATTCCTGCTTATCATTTTTTTTACAAGCCCTCTAACATTAAATGTCACGTAGGTAATATCTTTATATCAAGGTACCACCCAACATTCGCAGGAAAAAAAGGAGTATCCATGATGAAAAATTGCCCCAAATTTGATAAAAATGGAGTTTTATCGCCAGAATTGTCATATTTTAGAACGTTCGAAATTTTCGTTAAAAATCTTTTTTCCTTTTTTGCGTCAGCGGTCGGACTATAAATTACCATAGCAAATTGTTGCGTCTTTTTTTTTTTTTTTTTTTTGCGAGGAAAAAACACATTGATTTGAAAATTCTTGTAAAAATCAAACAATTAGTAGATTTTTAATGACGCTTTCATGACTTATTAACAAATAAATAAAATTATTTTAGAAATGACTTTTTAGAAATTCTTGGTAATTTTTTTTACATCTGTTGCACACCAGTTATTTCATCATCATCATCATCATCACCACCACCACCATCATCATCATCATCATCACCACCATCACAATCATGACCATCAGAATCATCATCATCACCACAAATCATCATCATCACCATCATCACCACCATCATCAGCAGCACCGTCACCATCATCACCACCATCATCATCATCATCATCACCACCACCACCATCATCATCATCACCATCATATCATCACCACCACCACTACCATCACCATCATGACCATCATCATCATCATCACCACCACCACCACCACCATCATCATCATCACCATCATCATCATCATCATCACCACCACCGTCATCATCATCCTCACCAACAATCATCATCATCACCACCGTCACCATCATGACCATCATTATCATCATTATCACCACAATCATCATCACCATCACCACCACCATCATCATCATCACCACCATCAGCAACACTACCACCATCATCATCATCATCACCACCACCACCATCATCATCATCACCACCACCCCACCACCACCATCATCTTCATCACCACCATCATCATCATTACCACCGTCACCACCATCACCACCATCATCATCATCAACCTCATCCTCTTGACTTTTATAGTCGTAGGGCGGATCCGAACGCAGAAGCCACAATAACTCTTTTCCACAATGGGTCTATCAAAGGCAGCCATCAGCAATTCTCGTAGGCACACCTGTCCATTGTTTGACATTGTCCAACCGGGGTTTTTTTTGCGTTGGCGTCCTCCCCTACGTCCACCTTAAACAGTGCCTTACATGATGGTCTTACCATATAATGTGTCCAAACCACGCCATTTTTCTCCATTTGACAGTAGCGAGAGGAGGTTCCTGTTGGCCCACAAAATTTTCAACACTTTTCCGCACAAACTCCTTGGGTTTTGTTCCCAACAGAAAATGTCAAGGCGTTTTCTTTTGCATTTGTTCTCAAACACTTTAATCCTTCACTCCGTATCTGCCAAAAATGTCCACGTTTCACATCATGTTATTTAATTTTATGATATTTCTGAGAAATTCAATGGTGTAAACATTAATGTTTATATTAATTAAACGAAGAACTCCTTGGAGAATTTAAATCATTTTCATTTGTTTTTCTTTTTTTTTTTCTTTTTTTTTCTTTTTTTTTTTTGTCAAACAGGACACCGTCTTATCGAAAATCCACTCCGAATCCGGGAAATAAAATTGCAATAAAACTATGGCATTATTTAATTAGAAAAGCTTTTTATAGCTTTTATGAGTAACATATATTATGAATAATATCGTTTTCAGGAAAAAAAAATATCTTTCAGTTCACAATGAACTTTTATCAGATATGACTTCATTTTTTTTAAGTTTTTAGATCATTTAAAATGCTGATCCACTAGTGTAAAGGTTAAGGGATATTGTTACTAAAAAAAACTATATTTACTAATTATAAATTGTAAAGTTGAGGTACTCGACATGGCGCGATGGTTAGCAAGCTTGTCTCGCTGAATCAGTTACGACTAAACAGTGAATTTGAACCTCACTGGGTGTCCCATATTTTTAGCCTTGTGCCACACCTAACCTACTCTTAGAAAGTCACCAGGGCACTTCCAAGGGGTGTAACAGTTTTTAATGATTGTCTCGATAAAACAAAAACGACTGAATAGTGAGTTTGATCCTCACTGGGTGCCCCATACTTTTAGCCTTGTGCCACACCTTACCTACTCTTAGAAAGTCATCAGGGCACTTCCAAGGGGTGTAACGGTTTGAATGTTTGTCCCGTTAAATCAATAATGACCAAATTGTGAATTTCATCCTCACTAGGTGCCCTATACTTTTAGCCTTGTGACATATCCAAGCTACGCTTAAAAACCCATCTTAAATCGTAAAGCTGTGAGATCAGCTCTTCTTAATAACTGCATTGCCTCTTTCCACGTAAGCTGACACCTGACCGCTCAAAGAAAACTTTAAAAGTAACTAGTACTGAGTTGACTTGAAATCATCGTGTTATCTACACCTGAAAAAGGGTTTAGCGCACAAGAATATTCATACTGCTGGTTGCTACATTGGAGGTGGGGGGGGTCTAGATGTTCCAGCTTTATCAACAATGCAAAAGTGGGCAGCTGAATTCAGGACGTTAAGAGAGCGTCTTGAAAAAAGTCTGAACGTCCTGAAAATTGCCACCACCGAGGAAAACGTTGATTGTGTTCACTACATGTTGAAAGATGACAGCCGACTGACTATAAATCAAATAGCCAATGCTCTTACCATATCATGTGAGAGAGTTGAGAATATTCCGCACAATGAACTTGGCATGACGAAGGTTTCTGTTCGGTGGGTGCCACGTCTTCTGACACCTGATCAAAAGCGCACCAGGCTGAGCTCGTTACGGGAAAATCTCACATTATTTAAGGCAGGGCCAGCTGGTTTCCTTGAACGTTTCCGAATCCATGATGAGTGTTGAGTTCATCATGTTAAATCAGAGACAAAGAGGCAGTACATGCAGTGAAAAAACCCTTCCTCACCTGATCCAGAGAAGGTCTAGATCGTTTTATCTCCAGCGAAGTTGGTAGCCTCAGATTTTTTGGATGCAAACGGTATCGTTTAATGACTATCTTCAAAAGGGCCACAACATCACTAGAGAGTACAATACTAAATTGCTAAGTTACGAAAAGCTATCAAGTCCAAAAAACCCAGGGAAACTGACGAAATGGGTTTTGTTTCATCAGGAAAATGCTCCAGCATACAGTTATGCACAACGGCTATTGTGCATGACTGTAACTTTGAACTGGTTGATAAAGCTCTCTATCCTTCTGATTTGACGATCATCTGTTCCCCAACATGAAAAACATTTGGCTGGGAACCATTATCGCAGTGATGTCAGCGTCATATCTTTTTTTTACCAACAGGATGGACTGACTTATTTGAACAGTCAGAAATCAATTTAAGTGGAAAGAAGCAATGAAGATATTCATACGAAGATAAGAAATTAGTGCATGCAAGATTTCACGGCTCTAGCATCATTCCTTCATAGTCAGCCTATGAACTTTTCAGCCCACCCTCATAACTGGAAAGAAACAATGCAGTTATTAATAAGAATAGTTGAAATTAATTCATGCAAGATTTCACGGCTCTAGCATCATTCAGCTTATGAACTTTTCAGCCTCCATGGTATATGCAAAGAAACAATTCAGTTACTGACAAGAGTTGAAATTAATGCATGCAAGATTTCACAGTTGTAGCATCATTCCTTCATAGTCAGCCTATGAACTTTTCAGCCCCGACCCAAGTACCTGGAAAGAAACAATGCAGTTATTAATAAGAAGCGTTGAGATCAATGCCTGCAAGATTTCACAGCTCTAGCAATCACGCCTTCATAGTCAGCCTATGAACATTTCAGCCCACTTTCGTACGTCAGATGAATGAATAAAACATTCATTACTTCATCAGCAATTACATCTAGCTTCTTGAGAAGGTGTTTGCACAGGATTTTATGCATCATGCAGGATATGTCCAAATAGATTCCATCCTAATTGAGAGATGGAAATTCAGATCGGAAACGTTTTACAACTTTTGTACGCGTTTGAATTGGGTATAATGTGGAGGTATTCTTTGCCGATTCAATGTTTTCAATTGAATGAATCGGGTTTTTCATCATGTTTCCCCCAC